AATACTATGTCTCTCTGAAGGAAAGGAAAAACTATAAAATCAAGGCGGCTGTACAGGTGTCTTACAAATGTAGGAACGACTGACGATACGGCCCTTAAAGTTCAGTTTATTTTCACTAAGTAATACTTTTTAGGTTCTATAGGTACATAACTTCATGTGTATGTGACTGTTTGTAAATTGAATTCTTAACGCGCACCTCCGATATTGTTTTGATTGAAAGGTTACCATATCTGCGTTCTTCTTCACCGTTTTCACCAAAAATTCGTATTACAACTTTTGCTCTACCGTTCCGATCGAAAGTACTTATCAGAAATCCTTCACGGCCTTATGTTAAAATTCGGAATAACTGTCTTGCTGTTAAGAAGCTTGAGTCTTCCATCATATGACCGTTAGCCATATTTGAAAAAACACAAGATGGTATGTGCCTTCCGTCATTTTTTCTTGATAAGGGTTGCCAACTTTCAGCGGTGCCTTGCGCTTATAACATATCGATACCAAACAGAATGAAAAAGTGAATAATCCCAAACTACTTTTTGATGTCAGAGGATCACAGGAAAATAAAATAATCAACTACGTGCGTATTTGTCGATGTTTTTTAAGGTTTATAACAGTAGCTAACGCAAAATAATTATTAATAAGGATTACATCCTGATTATTATGAACATAAACTAATAACAGATTAACAGTAGTATATAAAACAACAATACGCAATCTAATATTTTTATTATTGACAAATGGTGACCTTGGCATTTACCATAATTACACTAATAACTTAATTTTCCTCTAACCTGCCACTTTTTGAACCAGTCTGACTCACTCATCATCTGCGTTTGGCAAATAATAGCGACAATAATAATAAACAGTTTTTATTGCTCAGATAAGCACACGCAAAAAGCACCTAAGCGCCTAACTTAAACAAATTCAAGCTGTTTTCCCCGCAAACGGCAGAATTCCTATCTAACTAGCGTTTAAGAAAATCTGCTCTTCCATTCCACGAAAGAAAATACAATAATCCTTTATTTAGAATATTGGACCTAAGGTCTACCGTGACACCTTACAGATAATAAACTTGATCCGAAAAGAGTTGAAAAGAAAACAGAAATGAAAAACTTTTATACACCATGAAAACCGAGTTAAATTTTTTGTTCCATACTATACAGTCATCAGCCAACAGAAATGCATATATAAACTCCTGTATGAAATCGGTACATATACAGCTGTGTGACATTTCAAGAAAATAACCTTTGAAAAACGATGTACAGAATCAAAGAGTATAAAATAAATGTTCAAACTAATATAATGGCTAAACAGATCAGTCTTTTTGCGGTTTCTGGCAGATATGTACGCGGCAATCGTCAGATGTTCACTTACTTGCGAGTGATGTTTTGAGCTTTTCAAAAGACCATACGCGCTGTTTGCTTCCCATTGGTCTGCCTCTAAAACTAGACCTATACCGCACTGATGAGTTTCTAACGAGCATGCAACAGTGCTGTTTGCGGTTGGTCATTGTTATATTGACTGAAAGCAAATAAAAGCGATTACAAATTGTTGGTTTTCCTTTTTATATACAAAATATCTCCAAAAAGTGCTACCAAATAAAGCTGTATCCTTCAAATGGAACAACTTGTATATTTTTAGTGAAAATCATAGTCGCTTTTTTCCCAACTCCAAATATGTACCGTAAACGAGCCCCTTCCCTCTTCAGTTGGCCCACTTCAAGATTTGTACTAAAATATGCCTTTATAAACTAAACATGACGAAACTATTTACTTCTAAAACAATTTATTTTCTCAAAAACGTTTTAGATACACTCTAGTCGTAAAAAATACATATTTGAAATCACTTAGTCCTATAACTAATAGAACATCTGAACAAATAAACAATGTGCGAAATGAATAAAAGTTAACAAAGCAACAATTGAAAGATTACCATTGGGTAACATCACCTTTATTTTTTATTACGGCTGCAATTCTTTGGGGCATAGTGTTGACCAAGTTTTGGCAAAAATTTGGTGTAAAAACAATCCCATATTTCATTGAAGCTTTTGTCTCAGTTCGGTGATTGTACGAGCAGGATGTTGTCGTAGAACCTTTTTCATCTTGTGCCACAAAGTTTCAATAGGTGACAGATCTGGACTGCTAGAAAACCCATTTCAAAAGTGTTACATTATTTTCTTCCATTCATTTTAAAACCTTTTTTGAGGTATGGCACGCTTCACCATCTTGCTGAAACACAAAAAAAATGGCCGGATGTCAAACATTCTTCCATCACTGGTAAAAGCGATTCTTCTAAAATTGTCAAATATTTGTTTGTATCTACATTTCCATCAATAAAATGAAGTTTTCCTACTCCTTTTGGTGACATACTACTCCAGACCATAATGGATGCTGGAAATTTCACTTTTCTCTTCAGATAGTCAACATGGAATGCTTAATTTTTTTTGCGAATAACTCTACTGCGACTGTCACCAACACAAACTTCGAATCGGGCCTCATCACTCCATTGTATTGCACACCATTGTTGAGGTGTCCATTGTCTATGTTCTTTAGCCATCTAAGCCGATTTTTCTTTGCAGTGGAGTTAATAGTGGCTTTTCTTTGGCCTATAAACAAGTTGTGCAACTTTAGGGTTTTTACTTTACTTTTTTTTTATAAGAAGACTTACCTTGCAAGTGCTAAATCCCAGTTTGTGAGCCTCTCTATGAGTTGTGGACCTCGAAATTCTCCTTCCAACAGCGTCACTCCACAGAGCACTTAATTGTAAATAATTGGCACGCCTGTTTTTCACGATTATTCTTCTTAATGCTCTTCGGTCGGCGTTTGTGATATTACCTTTTTCACATATCGTGGCTTAATATTAACTGAACCAGTTACGCTATATCTTCTAACAATATTTCTCACACTGTACCGCGATAAGTCTAACAAAGTTGCAATTTCTGAGTTTGATTTCCCAGAATTAAAAAAATTATTATCAGTAACCAAATTTTTCACTAATAAAATTTCCTCTACCCATTTTGAAAACTTTAACTACCCAAAAATTTTTGAAACGTATTACAGCTGTGATTAATAAAAACAATTGTCATGGCTTTTATTTTTCACAGCCACATATGCGTTATAGACTTATTTTGCATTGAAATGAAAATAGGTTGATATGCTGTAATGGCAACATGTCTTATTTGTATGCTGCAAATTTGATTAGGGAATGATAAAGTTGGTGTTTTCTACTGGGTATATATTATCAAAATATTCATTGTTAATATTCAATAGTTGGGCCAACTGAAGTGGGAAGAGGCTCGTATACCGTTCATCATACTTAGTTTCATTAGTTTGGTTGATAGCTTACATTTATGTGTCATTCATTTGTGTGTGTCCTGCAAGCTGGTATAGGATTAAGTGGAATAATGCCTTAGGTTTTTTATCAAAGTAATGAGAATAAGCATAATACACAGAATCATAAAAGGCGACCCATTGTGACTAAAAATTTAATTCAATCGCACTTTTTTAAGAAGTTGTAATTAACAATACCTGAAAATTCAGGTATCCTCCTTGGTATACTAGAGAAATTATGAGTAACATAAATTTGAAGGATTACTACTACAGAAAATATAAGAGAACAAGCAACGTTTACTATTATAATGAATTTTCTACATCATCATAAAGGGCAAATTAGAGTTGCTTACAGTGTACTTGTTGTCGGTTGAGGACGGTATAATCAACGATCCGAAGAACTTCTGGTCATACATTCGGAATAAGAGATACTCTAGCAGATTACCAGGCCAAGTCCAGTTCAATGGCAACGTATTTACTCCTTATTGATGCATTTGCCGACTACTTTAAGAGTGTGTATGCTACTCCTCGAAATATTCTCTCTTCTTTAGATAGCGTCACCTCAACACCATGTATTTATCTAGAGGAATTAACGGAACCTGATGTGCTGAAGTCTCTCTCGAAGCTTCAAAATAAACTTACATCTGGTAGAGATCAATTATCTAGTTTAATTATTAAAGACTGTGCTCATGTTTTCGTCAAGCCGATGCTGATAATTTTCAATGCTATATTAAAAAGTGGAATTTTTCCTGATGTTTGGAAGATTTCAAAGGTGTATCCGGTCCTGAAAGATGGTGATAAATCTGATGTACTCAACTATAGAGCTAGGAGCATTTTAAACAATTTTGCAAAGGCTGTTGAAATGGCCATTTACTCTTTTATCTTCGAGAACGTTAAAAGCCTAATTACACCATCACAGCATGGTTTCATCAAAGGTAGATCCACTACGTCAAATTTAATGTCAATTACGCAGTATATAGCAGAATCGTTAGACAATAAACAAGTCGATATTATTTACATGGATTTCAACAAGGCTTTCGACAAATTAAACCATCATCTTCTTGTGGATAGCCTTTATTATTTCGGCCTTACTGACTCTTTAGTCGGTCTTCTAAGCTCATATCTTTCTAATAGGACGCAATATGCTTATTATAATGGTTATTCTTCAGCTAATTATACTGTTCCCTCTGGAGAACCATAAGGTTATAACCTAGGTCCTTTGCTGTTTTTATTCTTCATAACTAACCTAGCCGCTTCACTGAAGTGTGAATCTCTACTATTTGCTGATGATCTGAAAATCTACACCAAAATTACAAATTTGGAGAGCTGCATCCCCTTTCGGGACGATCTGCGTACCATCACACAGTGGTGCGACAATAATATTCTCTTCTTAAATATTTCCAAATTTAAAGTATGTTCATATTGTCGTAAAATGATTACTCCATAGATAATGCGGTTTTGGAGAGAACAACAGAGACTAAAGATCTTGGTGTAACATTTTCCTGTAGATTGGACTTCTCAGTCCATGTAGCACGCGTCACTTCCGAAGCGACACGGATTCTGGGTTTCATAATGGTAACTGCCGATCTTTTTCCAACGAAGCGGCACTAAAAGCTCTTTTTATTTAACTGGTGTGACCAAAACCTGAGTATGCTTCTTTGATATGGAACCCTTTCTATGCGTATTATATAAACATATTAGAAAATGCACATATCCAGAAAGGGTCTCTCAATTTGTTCTGCTGCTTCGTTGTGAACTAGAGTCTCTACAGTCAAGACGTTCCACTGCTGGCCTGTTATTCCTTCATAAGCTTTTGCACGACAAAGTGGATGGACCAGAACTTCTCCAGAGGTTAAATCTCTGTGTTCCACGGTTACATACGAGAAGAACTCTGCAGTACCTCCCGTACCAATGTATTATATTATTCTCCGCTACATTCTATATGCATCAATTTAATTCCATAGCAGACAGTTCTGACATTAATTTTGATTGTACGAGTAAGATCTTGTCGAATTTCAGTACTATTATAATAGCTAATTCTGTTTTTTAAGTTAGTTATATGTATACATTATATGTATGTATTATAAGTAAAGATACCACTATATTGTCCTCTAATTGGAATACTTCTGTTGGGCAATTATGTATAAAATAAAATAAATAAAAAATAAGATGAACAATTACTGAAAAACCTTTACGACGTTCGTATATCACTTTCTTTTCTAAAATGTCATACAGAAGAAAGAGAGGGTGAATTTATGGCGGCACTTCAGCTCTGCAAATATTGCAACATTCTGTATCGGATTCTAACCTCCCTGAACACTAAATGTTATGTTTTTTTTTGCAGAGCACCAGCCTCAAGCACATCCTTCTCACTGCCACCTTGTTTCTCCAACTTTCCAATGCTGCCATCCTCAAAGACGTCCTTCTTCCAAGCTCAACTCTGACGCGAGTACCTAGAGACTCAAAGTACCCCAGTAGATATGGAAGTGGTACCAGTAATGAAGACAAGGCACTAAAACCGGAAACTGCTGGCGATACTAGAGATCCACCAAATGAGAGTACCGTGGGGAAGAGATGTATACGGTGCGAAACGTCCGGTTCCGGGTACTACGATAGGTACCCTCAGGATAGCAGAAATCGGTACTATGATAGAGATTATGACGATCGGGACCGGTACTATGACAGGGATAGGTACTACGATCGAGATAGGTAAGGAATAAATCGTACTATGGGAACTACACTATCGTATGACAAAAATAGAAGATTTTGAGATAATTGTGTCAGCAGATGTTTTTGAGTTTCAATAAATAACTTACTGATACTCGTAATGAGATATTTGAAGTTAAGATATTCTTGCAGTTTCTTGAGTGGCTGGCGATAATGTTAAAAAATTTACCATATGTGATACTGCTTACTCAATGAAAATAAGATGCAAAATTTTTGAAAAAAGCAATTTATTAAATACAATGCACTTGCAGATAACGTTGCAGTAAACAATACAATATATACTGGCCCATGTGCTGATGATTACTCGGTTTCCGACCAGACTTTGAAATTGGTAGTGCTTCATAGAATTCATGGACTCTTTATTGATCAACTGCTTTAGCAATTTGCTTCAAACCTTGTTTTATAAAATATACTTTGTGGAGAATCTTTCCTAACATGAAGTATTTTAATGTTATTCCATATAATGTTTTCATTTTTGGTGTTTTGGAAAATTCTTTTCCTACTTGACTGGTTAATGTTTTTATATCATAAATGTCACGTTGTTGGACTTCGTTAATAACATAAGGTGTGCCAGTTCTTTTTGCAAGGGCGATTATGGGTATCCACCTTGCAGGTATATAGGTGCTGCTAGCTTCTCTCTTTCAATGGCAGAATGCATACTGTCACCCTCATTTTGGGTGTGACCGGCAATCAAAAACTTGTGGGTAATGGCATTTATGTTTCCATCGTATTAACTACCTAGAGGTATGTTGCAGCTATGAATCTATTTTTATTTTGACCGCAGCAGTTATCAAAATAAAATATAACAACATCTGAACACCGATCATTGTTCTTCAAGAAAACAGATCAAGAGATTGCAAATCTCTTTAGCTCCTCGCTTTCCAATTGTTTCACTCCATACATAATAATAACCGATTCGATTTGGAATATTATAAATCGTTAAATTTAGGGTTGCAAGCTTACTTTTGTATGCACCTGCGAAATCTGAAGACCTCTTCCTCCCCTGGTAAAGATGGGATGACGGCTGCTGTACTTAAGAACTGCGCTTCAGCACTGGCCCTACCATTAAGCTTGATATTCACATCGTCTTTTAGATCTCATACCCTACCCTCATGCTGGCTTAGTGCTTCTGTTACCCCTGTATTCAAAAAGAGCGACAAATCCTCCTCTAAAAATTATCGACCAATAAGTCTCGTTCCTATCGCCGCCAAAATAGCTGAAAGAATCATATTAGATAAGCTCCTGTCATTTGCTTTCCAAAATGACCTTATCCCTAAGAATCAGCATGGATTTCTCCCTGGTCGATCAATAATGACCAACCTTCTCCACTTTCTCAACGATTGGACTCAGTATCTGGACACAAAGACTCCTGTTGATATAATCTACTTAGATTTTTCTAGGGCTTTCGATCGCATACCACATAGAAGGCTTCTGTTTAAGTTGGAATGTATGGGAATAAGAGGCGAGTTGTTACTGTGGATTAAGGCTTTTCTCACCGGGAGGACTTTCTCTGTGCGCGTCAGTGATAGCCAGTCTCACCTTCATCATGTAGCAAGTGGAGTTCCTCAAGGCTCTGTCTTGGGGCCAGTACTGTTCCTTCTGTATACAAGTGACCTGCCCGCATTGATTTCCTCCACATGTTCAGCTTATGCCGACGACACCAAGATTTACAATACTGTCGTAAATTCTGCTATACTTCAACGAGATCTTGATATTGTTTGTCAATGGTCAGTCAGTTGGCTTTTACCCTTAAATCTAACTAAGTGTTGTGTCCTTCACCTCGGGAAGACAAATCCGCGATTTACATACAAGATCTCTGACCACAACATCGAACCAGTTTCCAGCCACACTGATCTGGGCGTTGTAGTCAACGACCGTCTTTCCTGGTCAGAGCATATTCACCTCGTTACATCAAAAGCCAAGAAACTTCTATACATGCTGGAGAGGTCTTTCAAAGGATCCGATATCAACACTTGCGCCTACATTTACAAGGCATTCGTAAGGCCAATTCTTGAATTCGCTGGCCCGGTATGGGACACTGTGCTTCTGCGCGATAGAAACCTCGTCGAATCGGTACAGCGTCGGGCTACTCGTATCCCTTTTGGATCACGAAAACCAAGCTATGAAGATCGCCTTGAATTATTCAACCTGACCTCATTCTCTGAGCGAAGACTTCGTGGCGATCTTATAGTTACGTTCAGGATACTTCATGGTTTGATGGGCACCAACTTCATGCATCTATACCGTCTGTCGCGCAGCAATCTACGCGGACACAGCTTCAAACTGCATAAGGAGCCATTTAACACAACAGTCCGACAGTGGTTTCTTCCCAACCGCATATTCAACTCCTGGAATAGTTTACCTGAAAGTGTGGTTGGTGCTACTTCAGTTAATAGCTTCAAAGTGCAGTATGATAGCTGGAGGAGTGTACAAACTTTATAACTATGAACTGTCTTTTTTATTTTTTATTTTTGATGTATTTGTGTTACGTGTCCGTACACTATATTTACTGCATGAGCTTATAGTACTGTGTACTCTGCTCATCTCAATTATCATAATAATAATAATAATAATAATAATAATAATAATAATAATGGCATTTATGATTCCATGGTAATAACTACCTAGAGGTATGTTGTAGCTATGAATCTATTTTTATTTTGACCGCAGCAGTTATCAGACTAAAATATAACATCTGAACACCGATCACTGTTCTTCAAAAAATGGATCAAGAGACTGCCAATCTCTTTAGCTCCTCGCTTTCCAATTGTTTCAATCTATACATAATAATAACAGATTCGGACTTACGATACTATTGCACTCACACTAAGAAATGCAAAACACTCTTAATGCGAGACCTGAAACTGATACTGTGATTCTTCTTATGAAAGTGCAAGGTCAACCTACTTGAGGCAATTTTTTTCCATGGAATTAACAACTCCCGTCCCGTAGCAGATTCAGACAAGAATATTTAGGATATTCTTTTTGTGCTTTTCGCCTATTTCAGGCATAGACAAGACGCTTTTCTAGCGCTTCACAACTCAGAGTCTTGGTTCTCGCATTTATTTTAATCTCCTGATTACTTATAGACAAACAAATACAGGATGGTCAAAAATTTCGGATATCAATGCTTTATTTTTTCACCTGTATTTGGGACCCTGAGTTAATAATTTGTTGTCTCTAGTTTTTGATGTTACTTTATGTTCAGCTTTGCATTTTGATGAGCTGGTTTCACGTTGAATGTTTATACGCTAAGAAGCAATAAGAGAATATACTCGTAGCTCAAATTTAATTTTTCGCACCTACAATGTTTTAGTTACTTACAGGTAAAGTATCAAATTTCGGATATACTTAATTGATATAGAAGGATGATGTGTTTCATGGTGTTGGGTGAAAAAGTTATGGAGTTCGAGAATGATATTCATTAAAGCCATCCTTCTATAATGACGAATTGTGTCCATTGTCCGTTGGCCTAAACTCAGATCGGTCTCCTATTTGTTCACATCATTACTAATTATTCAAATGCATAATACTTTGAAAAATGAAGACACATTATTACTGCTTTTATTTTTAGGCAATAGTAGCGACAGGCCACCGTTGAAGCGGGCTTTGTTTCCTGTATCATACTATAGAATGACTGTACTCAAATTCAAATGTGAATGTACGATATATGGTCCAGCAGCGTGTGAGCTCATTAGAGCCAATCGTGTTAACAAGTTGTTTAAATTAACGGAATTAATTGTTAGGTACACAGTAGCGGCCAAATGCACTTTTAGGATGTATGTTTATATGAGCCTATATTGCTATTTTTTTATGTACCTTCTGCCTTAACATATCAACAAATTCTTCTATGCAAAGTGATTCTCCAGTCGTGGATAAAGCTCAAATATCATACTCAGTACCGCATTTTATGGAGGTCTTCTATGTAACATTTTTTCCTCAAGGGTTCATTGAAAAGATACGGTGTGTTGAAGCTTGAAAATAAAAACATTTTTCTTAATATCATTAAAACCGTCAACCGGAATGAACTAAAATTTGGTATGTGGATATACCCAAATATTGTTCACATTCAAAAGTCCTTACTTAAAGTCAACGTGTACCTGTGGCGGAGATACAGGGGATTAGCGCCCCACAAAAGAAATCCAGGGGGCTCAAATCAGGAGACCTCGCAGGTAAATCTACGGGTCCGTTTCTGCCAATCCATCCTTGTCTAAAACGATTATTTAACCATGCCTTTATGTCAGGACAAACAAGCGGTGGGACACCGTCGTACTGATACCACATTCATACTCTCGTTGCTAACGGAACATCATCTAACACATTTTCTATGTAATTCCCTAGAAAAGATAAGTATGAGTTAGCAGTTGAACGTTGCGACAATACGTGCATAAACAGTTGGCCATTGAAAATGCCGCACCAGGCATTTCTAGAAAATCTGTGTTGTTGAAACGAGTGGATTTTCTAACGACGAAATATGTTCATTATGAGAATTAAAGGTTCCAGTCCTCCTAGAAAAGCGATTCATCCGATCACAAGACGAAATCAAAAAAAACTGCATTTTGATTATGCGGTTACTCACCACTCACAAACATTTCGCCGTTGCACTTCGTAGCCCAGTTGCAGATATTGCACATTTTGCCGATGATAAGGATGTAAACCTTCCCGATGCAAAATTCTCCACGTAAGACTTTGGGAACATGGTAACTGGGTTGCAATCCGCCTAGTACTTGTACTAGCATCATCCAACGTCAAATTAATCACTTCCAGTTCTTATTGAACAGTATGCCGGACACCATGAGCTCTAACTCCGAGAAGTTTGGCAACTCCATATTGACGAAACCTTAGAAATGAACGTGTAAAAACCTTTGATTGGCGTCTGTTAGGAAATCTACCTTGATACTCCCGAGAAGTCGCTAGAGTTACAGAACACGTACACAAAAATAAAATCGGCGTACCCAACATTGCTAAGTTGCATTTTATAA